TCAAGGCCTCGTCCGTCGCGAGGTCTACCCCTGGAATGACCACGAACCTGATCGTTTCGCCCCGGAATCGCTGGCTGAGCTAAACGAGCGTTTGAGCTCCATGGCGCCAAAGTGCGTCGTCGAGGTTGCGACCTTGCCTGTCCTGTTAGAAGGAGCGAGCAGCACCGATGACTATGAAATTATTCCAACATGCAAGCAGCTTGGAGTGTTCGCCAAGGAGGACATCGCCCCCGGTGAGGTTGTGCTGAAGGAATACTCACTTCTCACGGCGAACAATCGCCTAAAGGACTCTATTTGTGACGCGTGCAGTTCTGATCTGCCACCACTAGGCAGCGAGAACGAGCCCATCAGTTGCCCTGAATGCTACGACACGGTATTCTGCACTCAGTATTGCTTTGATCAAGCCATGGAGAGATATCATCCAGCGGTTTGTGAGAAGGACGTCGACGCAATCGCTAAGGATCCTGATGCATTTGAAGCGGACCAAACACTTTACCTTTTGCTCCTTTCTCGTGTCCTGGCTATTGCTGCTCACGAGGAGGTTAATCCTCTTGATGTTCGAGAGGTCAAGTATATATGGGGTGATTTTGTTCCGACTCGAACCAACGACATCAACGTCTCACCAAATGCCGGCCCGCCTCCTGAGTGGACATTACCCTTTTCTTTCAAATACAACATCGAAACACCGCTCCATGTTTTGGAAAAGATGGATATAGATATATACTCTTCGCTCGCTGAGAGTGATCTATGGGTGCTCAACACCCTATACGCCAAATTCAGGGGCACTGCATCGGCCCGTAAAAGCCTTCGGGATGGTCGCCCTGATGTCGCCGCAGTGCACCCGTATTGGTGTCTCGCGAACCATGATTGCGACCCCAACGTCACATGGGAATGGGGTGGCCGCATGGTTCTTGAAGCCAGAAAGGAGCGTGTTGTGGGTGGTCGTCCGGGAGGTATCAAGAAGGGTGAGGAGATTCTCAACCACTATTGCGACGTCAATTTACCCGTGCAGCAACGCCGGGAATGGGCAAGGGGTAGTCTAGGCGGTTGGTGTATGTGCAAACGGTGCCGCGATGAGGCTGCCATGGGAGAAGCAAATCATGTTTGAGAATTTCATGCTGTGAGTTGGGATTTTATGAAGCACGGAGTGGGGGTTTTTACCTTTCAGGGATAGGGAGGTTTAGATAAAATGGGTGGAACGATCATAGCAAGTATGTGCTTTGGATGGGCAGGTGAAGGACATTTTCTTTTGAAAGTTTCAAGATACCACAATACACGACAGGTTCTTATCATACCAAAACTCAAGCCTAGCAGCCATCTCTCCTTCCTATCAAGGTGCTGGTGATACTGACCAGATAGCCATGGATATGCTTGGGAAACGAAGATAATTAAACCAAGGTCCACCATTGAACGTGCGCATTTGTTGAAATAGTTTGAATTCTATCCATGGAGGCCATCACAATCGATCAAAATCTGAAAGAGCCTTGATTTGTTGCTTGAACTGCAAAACAATCGCTTCTATTCTCTAGGCCCGGCACCTTACCTTGGTTGCTCAGGAAGCGGCCGAGGTCCTACGATCTGTCTTCGACCAGCTCCGATACCCACTGACCCCTTATTCTGGCTGTCACCGCCTGTATAGCCAGCCCATTGCCCAACATCCCACCGGCCACCGATACCACCGCCGATTCCGTCTACACCTTCATTGGAGCGTACCGCCGCAGCAGTCTCTTTCTGTGCCTCTTCCCACTCGCGCTGCCGTTGGCGTTCCATCTCCATCTCACGTTCCAGAAGTGACTTGGATGCCCACCCGCCTGCCTTAGTCTTATTCTGGCTCTGTGCACGACGCTGGTCTTCAGCATCGCGCTCAGCCGTGGCACCCAGCTCGCGTGAATAAGTCGCCTGGGCTGCAGGTGGTGAAGGGGCTGGGTTACTTGATAGAAAGCGGTCGGTACGGCTGGGAGCGGCGGGCGTAGGCTTTGGGGAGTATGTGGCGGGATCCGGTAGGGGCCGGCTGCTCGTGTTCTGTGACTTGGCCTGGGGAAGGGTAGTCGGGTCAGGCAAGGGGCGAGGTGACCTTGAGGGCAATGCATGAGCGTTGTTTGTTTGAAGGGGTTCCCTGTTGAAAGGAGACCGAGTTCTCAGAACCTCTCGCTCGTCTTTAGACCATGAGTCAGAACGTGTTGGTGGACTGGACACCAGCTTGGGCTTTGGCTTAGGAGTTGGTTTTGTCTCTATGCTTTCTTGACGTTGAGCTCTCTCTTGACGCTCTCGCTCATACTCGGCTTCTCGTTGTCGAGCGAGCTCCAACTCTTGCTCCAACTGCTTCACACGGTTCTTGTATTCATCTTCAGAAGCACCGTCTTGCTGTGATGCTCCTTGGTCGGCGGCTCGATACTGACTCAGGAATTGCCCCGTCAGCTTAGAATCACCACGATTCTTCACGCTTTTTCGTTCTTCGGCAAGTCGGGCTTCGGCATCTTCCTCATCCTTACGCCGTTTTTCCTCTGTGAGTTTCCATTGCCGTTCTTCCTCCTCCCATCTTCGCTTCTCTTCTTCGGCAGCTTGCCGCTCCTTTTCTCGCAGTTGTTCAGTTTCCTGCTCCCATCTGAGCTCTTCCTCAACCCGGGCGCGATCCTCCTCTTCAGCTCGCTGCCTCTCCTCTTCTTCCGCTTCACGGCGAGCGCGCTCTTCCTCCTCCTTTCGACGGCGCTCCTTCTCAGCGAGAGTTGGCACGCGGGGACCAGCATTGGTGATCTGTCGCCTACCGCCAAACGATATACCGAGATTACCTTGGCTAGCGCCCCCTAAGTAACCATACTGTGCAATATTCCAGGCGGGTGCAGTAGTCCCTTCGTGCTCCTTTTTGCTCCAGCTGCTAACGGCGCCAGGAGACTCGGGCCCATTCTTTGGGGTAGGACTCTTGGTAGGACTCCACCGCCCAGAGCCCGAATCGCCAGTTCGATGCGGTAGAGCAGCAGAGCGTCCGAAGGCAGGCGACTTGTTGCTTGTGACGGATGCGCCCCTGTCGCGTGTCCTGGTAGGTGTCCTTGAACCTGTTCCTTGAGGAGTAACCGTTTCAGGTCGATTTTTAGGTCCAATCGGTGTGGGAAAGTGATGAGGATTAGCAGCATGGGCCGCTCTGCTGAATGCGCCGATGCATTGCAGAACTTGCGCTGGGTCCTTCTGCTCAAAAAGATCGACAGTAAGGAATGTATCATGTTGGTGGAGGTTCAGTGGTGGGGATTGGCAGGCACGGAGAAATAACGAGATATTCTCCATCTGTACGAAAGGCATGGCCGATTGCTTGAACCGAACCCCAGGAGGTGGAAGGGCGAGATTGGCGAGCCTGAGCATTGTGTAAGTCCCGCATTCATGATCGCCAGGCTTGGAGGCGACTTACTTGCATAGAGCAACTCCATCTTTTAGTCCTTCGAGGAGATCGGACGAAGGAAGGCTCTCCCCCAGAATGTCTTCAATCCATGACCGAGCTTCGTTAGCAGCAGCAGGTGTGTATTTCTCAAGGCGCATCTTGCGCAAGTCTTTATCAAGCGACGACACGGACGCCATAATGACAGCTCGCAGATGGGTTCTCGGAATAGCAACTCAATCACCCTGAGGAATAAGGAATTGGATTCGTATCTCCCCTAGTACGAGTTTCGATTCAAGCGTTTGCACTGGTAAGCGACGTAGAGAGTACGGTCCTGTCGCAAAAGTCGCACAGCTTCTTGAACGGAGGGAGGGGACGGGTATCAATTCGCAATAAAACAAATGAAGCTGTCTCCAAGCAATCGTCTTGAAGGCCAACTATCAGGATAGAAATCAAGTGTTGATTGAGAAGAATAGGAAGAGAAAATAAGATGGTCCCGGGTATCCGAGGTAGGTAAGTATCCAAGGAATTAGGTAGTAGCCTGCATTCGAGCAGGCAAGATTGGGCGGCATACACCCAACACCAGCATCCAGCCCACCATGAAATGACGTGGACTGGGAGTTATTAGGTGGCTGGGGCGGGGTGGCTGGTGCATCATGAAAGTGGCTGTGTGTGTGTGTAGTGTCATGGATGCAAGACTTCCCAGAACATTTGCGTCCCCCCATATTCTTTTGGTGACATTCAAGGTCATAAATTGAAACAAAAGAAGCACATGGCCACAAATCAGATTGGGCCTGTTGCGCGGGCCTGGTATCGGTGGAAAGCTCTACGCCTCCCTTGGCGCAAGCGCTTCCTCGTGGGTTTGTTTTCAATCTTCCCTCCAACCACTCTCCTCCCACTTACATACCACCAGGTTACGACCTTCAGGGTAACACTTACTGGGAATTTCGACTCACGAGAGGCGCTGAGAGTAATGAGCGCTGGCGAAGAATTGTTAAATACCCGCGATCAACACACTACTCTTCCGTAAAGGTCAGCCCTCAATGGCACCAGTGGCTACGGCATACACGAGAGGACCCTCCAAGTATCGAGGAACAACACAGCGATGTTCTGCGCCGGGTGAGGATGCAGAAGCTTGCTGCTGAGGCGGATGCTCGATGGGAGGCCAAGCCGCGAGTCATGGACGCGCCGCAGGCTGCGCCGGCACCGTTGCTGTCACCGGCGAAGGCCAGTCCTTTACAACAAGACGCCAGGTGTAGTGAGCAGACCGACATGGGCCCAAAAAAGACCAAGGAAGAGGCTGAAAAGAAGGATGATCCTTGGGCCAAGGCAAAGGCCAGAGCGCCAGGCGAGACGTGGCAACCCACTTCTTGGAGTCCTGCAGCTGCCAAGAAACGTTGAGCAATAGAGCTTCAGTCAAGTACTGACCGGCTCAACTGGCCTAGCAAGCCATAATTGCCATATCAAATGTAGCACCAATGTACAAGAGTCACGGAAAAAGACGAGAGAGATTCAACGGCAGAATCTTGGGTATCATCATCATTCATTACGGCATTATGTTCATGCACTGGGCAGTCTATAATATGTACAATACCACCAAAAACCCAATAGAATCGGCACCCGATCAGCCGTCTCACGACTCCGCTTCCTGAGAAGCTTTTAAAACTTCCAAAAACAGCCGAATTCTTTCACCTGAATTAGTCAGGATCTCTTGCGCGAGAGCGTCGGCTTCATCACCCTTGACCTTCCCAGTACGCCGCTTCTTTGCTTTTGCTTCTCGAGCTTTGATGCCCGTCTCAACAGCCTCTTCAAACTCTTCAGAATAAACCATTAGATCGCATGCCCAGAGAAGTTGCATAGCGTCTTCAACGACTAGGGATAATTTCGCGTTGTCTTCCAGAGCCACGGTATTCGCCGGATGAGGGACAAAACACTCTTCCAACATTGGCAAGGTCAAACTACCCTCCGCGTCACCTTCTGGGTCAACCTTTGAAGGATCTTTGTATGATGATGGTAGGAGCAAATCGAATAATTCTTTGGTGATAGTAATATGTGCTTCGGGTAGAAGTGGATTTGGTCTCTGGCACGCAAAGAGAGTAAACATAGGGAGCGGGAGAAGTTTGAGGGAGGCCGTATACTCCTCATACAAACGATGAAGCTCGGAAGGCTTTCGAAGTGACCATGTCACCGCAGAAAGTAATCTGAATAGACGAAGGCGTATGTCGACAGACTCGACCAGCCCTTGCGAGTGTACACCCGCTGTGCCGAGTTTTCGCGTGTCCTTGGGCTTCTGCGGCGTTGGTGGTTCGGAAACTCCCGAAGAGATTGATTCATCATCAAAGTAGTCACCAAATTTGTCGTTTTCCAGGTCCAGCACCTGCTCCCGCTTTCGTTTCTTAGACGTCTTGCTGGGGCCTCTGGGTTCCTTATCAAAAACCTCGCGAAAGGCAGACGACGATATCTCGCCTCCGTCAGCAAATATGGCTTTGACGAATCCTTTAGCTCCACTTTGTCGCCCGTTTTGTTGCTCCATGTACATCACAATGATAGATTCATTGCGTGACGTACGAGGTAGTTCGCTCTCTGGGCCATTGGCTAATTGCGCCTCCTTGTCGCATCGCTCGCGCTCGTTCCAGTCGGCCTCCAAGACATCCAACATAAACTCTAGCCAGACTTTCCAGTATTGCCATCGCTTTGGATATAAAGTGCTGCAGTTGAGTGCCCAACCAAGGGTTGACCAAAAGTCTTGTCCACGGTCCCATATGCTACCATCGTTGGCAAGTTTGCCTCGAAGTCGATCATCGTCGCCGTTTGATTCCGCATCTGATATATCACTATCGTTTCCCGGTCCATATTGATCCCAGCGGCGACCTGAGCGTGGTGTAGAGTTGAATTGGAAGGCTGTTCTAAGATCGGCATTAACGGGACCGGCAACTCGAAGAATATTGTGCAAATAGTCGAGAGCTTGTGAGGCAACGTCGCGCTGGTCTTTTTTCTCCGCACGGGTAGTGTGGAGAGGATGAATAACAAGAGTATTCAATAGAGCCAGATGGCTTGGAGGAGGGACAAGGACGTGCTTCTTCGAGCGAGTGTGTTTGGATATACCGGAGGCGGCAATGCTGTTGAGGAGATTTATCGCGGAGCCATCTATGTCGATGTAAGTATAAGTTACCATTGAGAGGAGCGAGCGCCAGCATACACAGCTGTTCTTCGAGTAAAATCTGGCAATGCGCCTTCAAGTCGCGGGGCAGTTGTCGCGCATCGCGATAGGGACATGGGTTCTCATGAACAGGGCTACTGGCGGCCGTGGATTTATCAAGTGTAGCATCATGCGCCGTCACAAAAGATGACGGCGACGAGAGAATCGAAGAAGACGAGGCTGTTGCCATTTCGTGTTTCGAGTCCAAGACATTCGTGAGTTGATAGGTATGATTAGTAGAGCATGGGGAAGGGAACGAGATGGGCCGGTTGAGAAGGAAGCGAGCATTCAATTTACACGGGCTGAGATCGCGAAGCGCGACAAGCGCGTGCGCTATCAGAGACCTGCCGATTTGGAGGGGTGGTACCTGAACTTAGAAGTCAGGGGGGGATTCGCACTGGCCTGGCCGGTGACGCCATTATCTGGAATTCGCAGTTGTCTTGCCCTCAGGGAGTATAAAAACTTTAGACGTTAAGGGAAACCGAGGGGTGTCTAGATCAATTGGTCAGTCTGGCTTAAAGGTTTACTAACTATAATATTTTATATAAGTTTTTATTCATTTAACCTCCCTTAAGATTGCTTATGAGCACCACATTTAGGCATAATAAATACAACATAATAAAAAAAATTATTAAAACCCTTTATTCTTGGAGCCAGAGAAAAAGAAAGCTGACAAGACTGGGATTCGAACCCAGGCCCCTTTCGAGACTGCGAATCGTTACTAGTTCAAATCGAACCTGAACACAGCGCCTTAGACCGCTCGGCCATCTTGCCTTAATGCGTTGCTATCCGAAACTCGTCAATCGTCAACTTGACACACATCCAACACGAGTCTGCTTAAACCATCAGGCTATTATTAAATATACTTAATATCTTAAGCTAGGTATTCTTAAATACAATATTTCTTAAGGTAGGGTTTTAAGATCTTTTCTTATTATTAATATAAATTTATTAAATTAATACTTTAATATATTAAAGTTTATATAAAATAAAGTTTATTATTTAAATATAAATTAAATACTTACTTTATATAATAAACCTTCTTTTATATGTTAATATAATATAACTTTTAGAAGAAAGTGCTTTTAAAAGTTTAATTTATATCTTTATTTATGTAAAAAGGGTGTATATACCTCTTTTAAATCTGTTAGTCTGTGATATTGAGCTCCTGAAAGACGCCTTTTACTTATAACCACAATGCCTGAGCTACTAGAAGAGGATCTGCAGCCTCTCTTTAATTTTACAGAGGATTATTTCTCGGACAACACAGCAGATAAGGATGCTTCGTCCCGCGACTCAGCCAAATACTGGAAAAAGCAAGAGAAATTAACGACTGCTGCGAAGAAAGAAATGGAAAAAGAAATAATGGAAGACATGGAAGAGAAACGACGAGCCAAAAGGCCCCTGAAAAAGTCTTTCAAGAGAGATTGCGAACGATTCAGAAAGAAAGAGAGGCAGGGTCGACAGGAAGCCACCGTGCCCCCCTTTGCAGAGATCGATACTGAAAGATTTGCAGGTTCATCTGTGTCACTCAAGTCAAGATGCCAAGCGCATCATCTAGCTACTGACGCGTGGCAAGATAAAAGCCTTGATGTTTTGATTTTGTGGACCGATGGATCAGTCAATATGTTCGATGGTGGTGCTGCAGCTGTCTTGATGGATCAGTCTTTGGGGTGGGAACAGGCTGTCTTGAAGGAAATAGGCTGGCAAGTGAAAGGACACCACGGCCGTAAGGGAGATGTCGAACTCATAGCCATCGTGGGGGCCCTTGAAGCAGCCATATCCATTGTTTCGCAGCAATCAAAATCTCATATACGCAGAGTTGCCATATTCTCTGACTCGAGAGATGAGGCTATTCCGCGGTGTTCAGAAATTCGGCACTTTCCAACACCACCTCTCGACTCCTTAGTTCGACAACGATCTCATGAATTGGCGCAATTAGGAGTAGCTTTATCTCTCATTTGGTTTCCGGGCCATAGTGGTATTGAGGGAAACTACCGAGCCCATAATATCGCTCACCGTATGGCGAAGCTCGATCCCCAGGACTTGTGCCAAAGCATCGTGTCTATATCTCGATCTATGGATGATGTTGTGGATTTTGGGTTTCACCATGAGTAAGTTACTCCGACAAAGGATGATACTTGGAGAAGGTTTTCATCGGGACTATTACCGGCGCTCTTGGTTCTTTGGGAAATGGCTACATGAGAAAGAGATAAGCTGGACTACGCATATGGCTATGTTGTTTCACACAGGTGGTTATCCATCAGTGTACCATCTCAGGAACTTTGATATTTCTTACATGTGCTGATTCACGTTGCGATAAGAGGACCGTGGGAAGTCGGTCAATTATTCTATATTATAAGTAAAGCAATATTTCAGCACTACAGGAGATTCAAAGTGAAATAATCCTATATTCTACCTATGAAACATTAACTTCCGAGACTCTTTGGTCTCTCTTCTCTTTCGGATCTGCGTGGTCCAGAGCATGCTCAGTCTCAAATTTACGATCCAGGCTTTTGGCCTTGACACATATGAGTGACACCAAGAGAGCGATGCATGCAAGTAAAGCCAGTACTAGCCAGACGGCTCGAAGGCCCTTAATATATCCATCGATGATAGTGTCCTTCATGAGATGCATGCTAGAGGGGGACTTCTTGAGGACCTGTACCAAAGCTGACGCGTCTTTGGCCCATTCGTTGGCTTTGGAAGCAAACTCCGGGCTTTTCTCAACCTGTTTGCGGAACTCGTTTTGAAAGGTGACACCGCCGACAGCAACACCAATGCCTTGACCCAGAGACCGACAGAAAGCATAAAAGCTGGCAGCGAATGGCAAATCGGAATTGGAAGCTGAAGCTTGAGCAGCAAATGCTTGAGCTGAGTAGAGGATACCGAGACCGAGACCCCCAGTAAGGTAGATGAATACCCATCTAGAGGTTTCAGTATGATCATCAAGCAGCAGCATCAATCCCATCCCAATAGGCACAAGAACCCATCCAGCCCATATGAAGGGCCTGTATGTCCCTGTCTTGGCAATCAGGAGCCCAACTATGACAGCAGCGGGAGCCACAGTCCCGGTGAATGGCATGACAGCAACACCTGCAGTGATAGGCGATGATCCCCTGACCTCGTGGTATAATGGAACATAGTAAAGTAGACACCATACCGTTATGCCGTGGATGACAGTAGCAAAGTATGCAGAGAGAGCCGTAAGGGAGGTGAATAGACTGGGTCTCAGAAGAGGGTCGCATCCGGAGTATTTTCTGCAGAACTTGATGTGAAGACCAAAGGATATGAGTCCCATAATACCGAAGATAAGAGGTATCATGGTCCTAGGACTGCTCCACTCATACATGATGCCACCTATAAATGACCATAAGTAAGCATTTACAGGGTTGACTACATCAGCATAGGCAACTTACCCCAACTCAAAGGGATCAAGAAACTTGTCAAGGAGCCAACAAAGATGATGGTCCCGATCCAATCGAATTCACCGATCTTGACGTTGACTGACGCATCCTTCTTTCGTTTAATGCGCATTGTGATAGGAATAGCGATATAGGCAATACCGCAAAATGGTAAATTGATCCAGAACAGCCAGGGCCAGGACACTTCTACGAGAGCGCCACCGATCAAGGGACCTAGGATGCTTCCAATAGCCCAGTTGAGAGAGATAAGGCCGAACCATTTGCCCCTCTCCCTGAGGCTTACAAGATCTGTAGCGATAATGTATGTCAAGGCAAGGATACCACCAGAGCCAAGGCCCTGAAGTGTCCGGCCACCAAGTAGTACGGCAATATTCTTCGCCAGAGCAGCTGTGATACTACCACCGGTAAACACAGTGAGAGAAGCGAGGAGCGCGAACCGACGGCCAAATATATGAGATAGGGAGGCAACAGGGGGTTGAACGACGGTCGAGGCGAGGAGGAAACTAGTACCACACCAAAAGGCTTCGATAGCCGTGGCACCGATGTCTTCTGCAATTATCTTTGGACATTTCATGTTAGCGAGGACTCGTGTTAGGATTGAATAACATGAGCTTACAGGCAATGCAACACAAATAATGGTTGAATCAAGAGCGATGATAAACGTGACAAGACACAATGTACCAAAAGCGCCATAGAAGCGCCATCCCCGACTAGAACTCGCAGGCAATTCATTCAGTTCTTTGAGTTGAAGGGGCGAGGGGCCTGAAGAGGACAAAGGATTGCTAGTCGCACTCTCGGTTCCATTCTGTGTACAGGATCTTGATTCTGCCTCGATCACGTCCAGGGTACGGGCAGCTGGTATAGAGCCAGCAGGGGGTAACTTGTCTTGTTGGCGAGAAGAGCCTCTTGTCTTATCATCGAAGTTTACATCACTAGGAGAGCCATTTCTGGGTAGATTATCAGCCATTCTGCGGAACCGAGGGAACGTGGCTACGGTTGTAGATTTCAATCAGGGGTAGAACGAAACAAAGACCCGTGTATTTCATCATGTCGTCAGAAACTGATGCACAGGAATCAACCCATCTTATAACAACACCAAACGCAAGCGCAGACCTGTTTCACCGCTGACTTCAGGTTCATCAACATCTCGTCAGCCAGCCTCATAGCCCCTACTAGACATGTACGAACAACCAACACATCCAAACTAAGGCTGCTTAGAGGTTCCAAACATCGAGTCCAACAACCGAGGCGCCACAAGTTACTGGATTGGGGGCACTTCATTGATTTTCACAAGGATCCAGCGATTTGGCGACCTCCACTTCAGCTCAGCCCATGGAGGAACTAGTGATTGCTAGCATCTAACAGAGCTCGGCCATGGATGTTTGATCGAGCCTCATCGGATATCTCGGTCATGGAAGCGGCCGCCTCTCTGCCCTACCGGCGCCATCCCGCCGCTAATAGAGGCTATTCACGGATGTATATAATGCTTCTACAGCCAGTCAGAAGTGCTGGCATTGATTGTTGCCTTGATCTATCTCGCCGAGATATCGATATGGCTTATCGAATTGGTTTGAAGCTCTTGACACTGCCGTGCTACTGAAATAGCTGAATGTATCTAGCCGTCTGGAAGAGGCGCACAAAAGTTCCTCGTCATATGGAACACATTACGTCTATCGGTCTGACCTTTGATGAATCATGTTTCCTTATCGGATCTGGCTCGGACCCGAGCTTGATCTACGTGTCAGCCCTACAGTTTCCAATGCTCTGGATCTATCGATGTGCTAATCCATAAACGATCCTAGCGTTCTCTTCATCTCTATCGTGGGACTTGTAATCTCAGCTCTCGGCGAGCCCGTTAGTCCTCGTGGCTATGAGTTTGTCCCACAGCGTCAAGGATAGAGGTATTTCTGGAACGGTCGAAAATAAGCGGTATTCTTAACTGAGAAGTGCTTTGCTCACCAAGCCTGTTCGTCGGACCATCATTGAGGCAACCAGGTCCGCTTACTTATCGATACTGGGCATATATAATTAGGACTAGAATGTTAACACCGTTTGCGATGTCTGTGATGTTAGATCTCCAGGACTGGTATTGATAAGAATGGTCTCCAGTTGCTCGAAATTTACATATGAAATCGCAAACTGTTATAAAAATGGGTGTCTGGCGACCCCCATAAGAAGACATAGAGAAGCCAATGGCCCTAGTACTACCGGACCACGCAAGCACATTGTCATTAGCCAGGGAAAGAAACAGTTTCTACTTAGATAGGTGCTGACTGAGCTTCTTTCTTCAATTCTCACAGGTACAGTATCTCCTGTGCGCTTGGTACAGAGGATATAAATGTGTCACTGTCGATCTGTGTGCAAAGCCTCATTAGTTCTCGGATACCAGTAATACCCCTATCTGATATGAAAGTACGTAAGAATCTAAAAGTGAGAAATATGTCTCTGATAAGGATAAACTCAAAAAGTTCCTCTCTTCAATAAGACCGTACGGTACTTGATAAATTGGTGTTTTCTAGGCATTCCAGAATTCGCCAGTGTTCCCCTAGACGCGCGTATATTCTCAGTACAGCCAACCGTCGACCAACTGCATATAGGGTCATATACCGCATCGAGCACTCCTTTGGCGCGGGCAAGAAAATATCCTTCAGAATCAGGCTGCGTGGCTCAGGCTGACCCGGGAGTGCGGCTCAATCTGAACAGAAAAGTCGACCATGGGGCTGTGTACCACATTTTGAACCACGAATATCGCTGATAGACGAATCATGAACCAGTGTACCGTCGTGTGACCTCGGCAATATCTGTTCCTCGTCCAAATAGACCAATAATCAGCGGCACGCGAGCCGTACCGCTCGCTCAAAGGAGATACAAAAAAGTACTTGCTCGAGACTTGATGTGCGTGATGAAGATGCACTGGGAGATGCAGATTCTCCTTTCCTGTCATTGGGCGATGAACACGTTGAGCATCGTGAGGGTGTTGGTCGGGTAACAAGAGATGGGCAATGACTCCCTTTCTGGCTTCACCGGCTCGATATTCGAAGATAGCCGGCCGGTCCAAGGGGCCACCTTCTCATGAAAGTGAGGCTGAGTTCATTGAGATGCACAAAACACGTTGGTATTTGATATTCACCGCTCTTTGTCCTGTTGAATGCTTCATGTCTAGAGGCTGGTTATTTGCTGATTGTGATGATGGAAAAAGGCATCCACAGGATGGCCTCAGCGGGGCTGTATTCATGATGGATGGATGGATGGATGGATGGGTGGGTAGACAACATAGCTAGCTGGCAATTCATCTTTTCAATCTCGATTGTCGTGTCAAAACTTTCTGCTCACCGTAAGATTTACAATGCTGCCCAAAATCTCCAGGGAGAAGGGAGGAAGGGGTTTCACGACCACCTGGCTGATGGAACCAAGACCCAGCATCCATGGATGTTTCGTAAAAGCCCCCTCGCCGTCTGTCTTCTGGACACGAGAGGTATTTGGGGGTTAAGTTCGGAGGCCCAGGTGTGTTTCGCGAACTTCTGGAGTACCGGAAATAAGATGTCGACAGGCTTGCCTTGGTCTTTTCAAATTCTCGAACAGGCCTTGCTAGAGGTCCCTTGGAAAGTTAAGTTCAATAGCTGACGATGCCATTGTTCGCAAAGGAGATCCTCTGCTAGCGAGTCTCCTGTCCTCAAAGGTTTTGGGCGTTAT